ACCAGCAGTCACCTCCCAGGGGGCACTTGCAGTCCCCCCACTATCACACACCCTCCTTGCTCCCCATGGGCCGTTCGGGGGCAATTTTAGGCTTCAGCCTAAGGGCACAATTTCAGCGGGCAGCCTGCAAGCCCCAACATTACACCCCAGGACAGGGGGTAACATCACCATCACCCCACTGCCGACACCCGCGCACAGGGCTTGACTTGTCTGCGCGGTAGAGGGGTGCTGCTGGACGCCACCGTCCCCAATTCTGTGCGCTCCCCCCAGGAGGAAAACCCTGGCGAAGGGTCACGTACTTGTCTGAGCAGGATTTGCCCAGCATGGGTTTGGCTCCAGCAGCCTGGTCTCTGCTCCGCAACAGGAGACAGTCCTGTTGGGAGGGAAAGCGGAGAGGCCTTTAACATCTTCCGACGCCATTCACGGGTGGAACAAAAGGCTCTTTGCCAGGAGCGCGTCCCACCGCAGAGCACCCGCGGAGGCACCGTCCAGAGGCACTGCGAAGGGCCGTGCCTCTCACACCCCCGTCCGCCAGCTCAGGCAGCTGAACGCTAAAAAGCTTTGAGAGGACGAGGATGCGATCCGTTCTCCACCACACACACAGCTCCCGTCCCAGGCTGGACGGACCAGTGGGTTAGGAGATTAAAAACGTGGGGTAATACTTCCCTGGTGGAAGAGTCTGTTTAAAACTGGTGTTTTAAAACAAAAAGCAAAAGCAATTTTTACTTGGTCATTTGGATCTTCCCTTTAAAGAGTCAAACATTCTTTTAGAAGAAAACATTTAGCATTTCATACCAAAGTACTCCAAAGTGATTTGAAATAGTTGCTTAATTTCACACGAAGCTAAACGTTTTACTGAACACGCTGCTTCCCAAACAGAACTAGAAATGCAGCAAGCGTTAACATTACCACTACGCTGTAGGATAAAATAAGCAGAAATGTGAACAAAAAGCCCCAGTAGATGCAGACAACCCAGAAACTCAGTAATATCACTACCAAAGTTGAAAAAAAAAAAAAAAAGCAAGCTGCTTTAATGCACGTTCCTGTTAAGAACAAGGCTGTAAAGCGTCTCTTTGCTAAATCCAGTCACCCGGGATTCAGCAGGTTAGTCTGGATTAGGTTTAGCTAAATCACAACCTACAAACTTCAATAAGGCAGGTGGATCAGTTAAAATGAAGATGTGAAACACCTTGTCTCTCCCTACAGTGCCAAGTCCCTCAGAAATAAATTTTTAAAAAACTAATAAAATCACATGCCCACCATTTCCCTCACCCCAAACTAGGACTGGAATGAACCCCTTTCCCCTGGGTTAGTGTCTAGCTGACTTCTGTGATACTAAGGCTGCCCTGAACAAGGTACCATTTACCAGGCTACAGAAACCCATTCCCAGTTAGCATCGTCCCGTTGTTAGCTGGCGAGTGACATCTACTGGCAGGCGGCACGCTGCAGGGGACCGGGGCTCTGCTCAGCTCCAGGCAGCAGCTGCTGTCACAACCACCCATCCTTCTTAAGCCACTGTTAATTAACCCAGTGATTTCTGAACTGGGATAAAGGAAACGCTCACCTGCCTGCCTTGGTGGTGTCCCATTCACAGAGGGCCTCCGGACAACACAGCTGAACTTGATGAATTTTCTGTCTGCAAAATAGAATTGTCTCTCAGCCCAGCTTTACTGCATTACTGGGGATTACCAGAAATGAGTGTTTTCCCTGGCCGAGTAGAAAACCTGCCTGCAGCACTTCTGCATTGCCATGAGCCAACGCTCCTCGTTCCTCCCTAAGAATCACCTCTACACAGCAGCAAAACCCTGCGTCAGTAACCACCAAACCTACAAAGTTCCCTCCTATAACCTGCTTCCAATTACAAGTTATTCCACTACTGCTGTTACACATGACAAAGATCTGAGTCACCTCTCTGCTACGTGAGCTCTAGGTTTATGCACTGAAGTAAGACGCAGTGATGCAACCCAGGTGGTATTTTCACCTATTTTATTATACACAAAACATGAGCAGGAAGTTCTACTGAGGAGGCTGACCACGTCCACGACCAAATCCACCTCTCTGCAACAGAAAAGGAAAAGCATTAGAAGTCACCATATTAAGCAAGTGACAACAGCAGTTACACAGCAGCAAGAACCACCAACATCATAAAAGAGCTAGCTGTCCTTCCTCAACTTCACATGACTTTGATAAGCATCCCCTGCTCCAAGCACAGCCTAACTGATCTGTTGGAGACTAGCTACCTGACACAGGTTAACCAGATAAGCGATACGAACAACAAAATCAACCCATCTAAGCCAGCTCTGTGCATCGCATCTAAAACTCTTCTATTTCTGAAGTATAAAATCCTGTATTGCCTCCAGAGAGCTTGGCTTGCTTCTCCATGTGTCACTGGCTTCCCGTCACAGCAGCAAGGAATTCCCCAGCAGGAACGCAGCAAGCGAGCTGGGTGTAAAGGGTAACAGCTGCCAGCCTCTCTTACACAATCAGAGCCAAATACCTGACCCCAGCTGGCATACCTGAGAAACACCACACTGAAGAGCATGCACAAATGACCTATCCAGTTTCTCCTAATCAAAGCCTCAATAAAGGAAACAAATCTCAAATGCAAATACTCACAAACTGGAATTCAGTGGCTGCTCCAGCACCAGCTTCAGCCTTCTTGTCAGCACCAGCTGAAGAGAGAGCAGAATGGGTTACTAACCAAAGAATCCATTCCCCAAGCACAGCACTTCTGCTTGGAATCAAAACTTTACAAACAAAGACAACTAAAACTCAGGCTAAATATACCAAAGTAAAACCCACCCCAGAGAAAAATCCAACAGCCCAGCTTGACAAAATTCAAGACAAGACTCCTATCCATAAGCAGATACAGATGAACTGTTGCGCAAATGCCTAAGCAGGAGGCCAATACTGAAGACAATTCTCCCAAAGAGGTAAGATGCACAAAGAGCAAAGTCAGCCTGATGTTCCTACAGCAACACAACAGACACTCACGTGGAACAGCACTGCGTCTGTACGTATCCCTGTCAGCTTCTCCCCGAGTAAGACGCGCAGGGCGTTCACCTTCCAGACCTGAAAGTGAAAACAGCAACACCAAATACATCGTTTATCTGGGACACAACGCATTCTATGGGTGACCCTGCATCTCAAGGTGGAAAAAAGCCCTCTGGTTAAGCATTGCATTACAGCTACTAGCAGAACTGCCTCTTGGACAGCTTGGTGTATATAAACCTAAAAAACGTGATATAATAAGGAAAACCTCACTTTAAGGGTAAAATCTGCTAAAGCGCACCAGCTTGTGCTTGAGTTGAAGTTAAATAATGTGTGGAAAATGAATTTACAGCATCATCTCAGCATTCTTCTGGCCTTCAAGAGCCAAAAATCAATGATAATAAATAATCGGAAATATAGGGAATCTGTCATATCTGACAAGCATGTTCATAGCTAAGTCACAAATTGTGTGACATTCCGATCCCAACAGCTACACTATCAGTATCGCAAATCCTCCACAATGGAGTAGATTAATAAAACTAAGAGCAGATTATCTATGTAACATCAGATTAATATCAGACAGAACACTTGCAGGAAAGAAACAGATGTGGTGGAACCGGCAGCCTTTGCACAACTCTTACGGGGTTCCCCCAGAGCATCAAAGAAGAAATACGCTCCCACAGCACCAGGCCCAGGTCTTCATACTCGGGCAGCAAGACGCGTTTAAGGGCCGTTGCTGCCTGGCACACCACAGTGTACTAGCAGTCTCAAGCACACTGCAAGAAACAGGAAACTATTTAACTTATCCTACAAGTGCTTCTACATCCTTCCTTTCTGTCAGGTTAAGCCATTATAGCGCATCCCCTAGCCAACGGATTATGTTTTTTTAACTTCAGATCTGTCCATCCTTAAATTTCTAACAGTTCAATTACACCTGTAACAGAGACTGTAACAAATTGCAAATATCAAACACACAGTATTCTAAACCCTGCTTCAGACTAACCATTCCAGCTTTTGAACCAAGCCTTACTTGAAAAGTCAGTAGCACTCCATGGAAGTAGGAGAAGAGGCCCCAAAACCCCACAAGGTTGAGCAAGAGCTATAAACTTGGATTCTGCACCACCACCCACACACACCCCTGCGAGTCCTACTCTGCTGCAGCCTAAGGCAGGTAAACCACAGAGAAACAGCACAGAAACAGACAAGTCCCGCAGCTCTATCAGCTAACCCTGCCAAGGTGCGGACCGCATGAGATCACCAACACCACGCGGATAAGGGCTGTGATGCTGCAGAGCGAAGCTTCCTCACCACAGAAACCCTGAGGGAATTTTAGCCAGGGACTGTAAGCCCCACCCTCCATTAGACAGGCACTTTCTTTAGCTCACTGGATAAACACAACATCTAAAGAATAAATTTGGTAACATCCACAGCTACTCAGAGATCAAAGAAACCATCATCTTCCTAGTTTCAATGCAATTCCTTCCTTTGAAGCAGATGACAGTACAGTTTTGTTAAACTAAAACACCAGTTACAGGAAGACCTCAGCACCCCATGCCCGCAGCCTCCATCCCTGGGGCAGTGTCCAGTACCTGGGGACGGGATATAACATAGCTCAGAAGCTGGAGTAGACTCCCACCATCTCAGGAAGAGCTCTGTCATGCAGGACTCCCCTTTCACAGAGCGAGTCCTGCTTTAAGGGCAGGATGACATCCAGAGCCACCATCTCACGTCTTGAGGGAGAAGAAACATTTCTCACCCCTAGAGACTTGACAACGCTGTTCTGCCAACCACAGCTGCAGTAATTGTCTCTCCCCTTTCTCTAAGTTTCCAGAAGTTTTTATCCCCCCAAAAATCTTCTGGGCAGTTTTACAACCCATGCGCTGCACTGTGGTGTTTCTTCTCTACTACTGAACAAGAAACCAGGAAAACTAAGCAGAAGGGATTTTACAGAGCATTTCAAAATGCAACGTAACCACCCTTCCTGTTCTGAATTATTGCTTGGAACACAGTAACCTTTTCAGAACTGAACCAAGGGGCACAATGACTTCAGCACATTCACCTCAAGTTTTATACCGCACTATTCTATTATATGACTTTGCTGACCACGAAGGATATCAAAACGGTTTACAAGTCATTCATAGGCCAATACCAAGCATCCACGAGGAAAAGCATAGCTTCTGCCCTGTGTGGACTTTGCAACCCAAACTTTATTATTTAATATTGCCATTTGCAACTGGAGAAGAATACCTTCCGGAAAGGCATTTCAGCTACCTGCAGGTGGGTCTACAACACATTTTGTAAGGAGGCAGCTGCCACCAATCTGAGAAGTCACACCTGTTTGCATGACCAGCATCTCCTTCACTCACCAAAAAAATAAATCAGAAGTACATACAAGCCCAACATACCACATGTATTTGTTGTAAATCTTTAAAAAAAGCGAAGTCACCTTTAAGAAGGTGACTTGCCTACCAGCATGTTAAGTATACACGATAAAGCCCGAACTGCAGATGTCCAACTTGAGCTCAGGCACCAGGGACAAAACGCACCCAGGCTTACCTTTCGCTTTCAGCCATTGAATCTCGTGCCTCTGTGCCACATCTGAATGCAAGCCTGTTCCCTATCTCGGCAATCCCAGCCAAGGCCACTCAACCTGTTACACAACAGCCTCCCGGGTAGTTCTTCTTCTAGGGATAACTCAGTCAGAGACAAGGTTCTCTGTACCTGCTGGACTAAACCAGCAGCGCACACACTGTCTTCCTGACAGAGAACTGCAGTTCTGCTGCAGGCTCTTCCCAAAAGACAAGAACAGTTTTTGAAGAGCCCTGGCAACTAGAAACATGCCCCATCTCAGATCTCAGCCATGTCTGGGCACCAACCGGTACCTCGATCCGCAGCCTGCAGTTTCAGGACGCCTGCGCGCAGTAACTCCAGGCTCAGTGTAACCAGAGACGGCCAAGTCCCACACTCAAAGCGTTTCTCCCAGTCAGTCTCACAGCTTGCTTTAGCCCTCTCCCATTTTTCAGTAGGCCGGTGCCCATCAGACCAGTGCCAAATACAAAAGCAATAAAACATAATACATCCAGAAATCACAGCGACTCACACCAGCCTGCTCTGGAAGATGACGTTCAGCCGAGTATCCACCACATCTGCACTAATACGCTTGACCTCGCTCCCTGCTTCCTCCTGCTGACTCGACAGTTGCCTCTCAACCGCCGCTTACCTTTGGGCCGTGGTCTGCCAGTCTCTGGGCGGCTCCGGCGCAAGGTTGCGGGGACGATCTCCGGGGGGAGGTGAAGGTAATCGCGCAGGTACTGGATGCCCTCGTTGGTAAGATACCAGTAGAAATGCCTCCACGCAAACTGCTCTTTCACATAACCACGGGATTTCAGAGACTAGAGAGAGAATTCTCAGTTACTTCACGTATAAGCCTTATCATTGTTCGACATTTCCAATCAATACACTCCTTAAATGCTTTTATGAACGCAAGAGCTTATCGAGGGTACGTAGGGAACAAAAATCTAGATACAAGTTCACAGGCGCGAGACAAAATTACAGCACCATTCCCGCTCTGTGAGAAAATACAAGGCTACCACACACAGAGGTTATCATAGCTCCAAAAACAGAGGTAGAGATGGGGATCAGCAAAAGAACAGAATTCTGCAGGGAACAATAAATCAAAGAGGAAACAGTAAAAATCAGGAAAATGGGAAAGAAATCAAATAGGAAAGAAACTGCAAATGTAAGGCAACAGCTGACAACATTTATTCACGGGTAGGCAACAATCTCGCGTGCCCAGATCCCGGCTGGCTGGCAGCCCGTGTCGCCTCCCTACCTGCATGGCTTTCATGACGTGGAGGTTGGGCACATTCTTGTCAACGAGCTCGGGGTGCTTCGGCATGTGGACATCTTTCTTGGCCACCATCACGCCCTCCTTAAAAAGGAGTTCGTAGATGGCAATTCGGTTCTTCTTGGGCATCAACATCTAAACAAGAGACAAGCGGCAGACAGTAAATACTGTTGATTTAAAATAAATGCATTCAGAGTCTACCAGAAGTAATAACAGCAGTGCTAGTTTGTGTGAAAAGCCTAACACTTAAGTAACACTCCCCAGCCTACTCTCTCCTGTAAGACCTTTCTGAACTACTTTTCCACACCTGAGCTGCTGGACACCCCTTCTCATTACTTTCCTGTGAAGGAAAAACCAAGCAGTGCCAATATTTGATCATTAACATTAAATCACGCCACCATATTAAAGACTCCAAACTATCTGATGTCAGCCTGGACAAGAGTCAAGGGCTGACAGTGGTGGGGCAGAGCCGCAGCTCGGGGTAAGGCGTGTTTGGGCTCCACCAGCGGTGCCTGAGGACGCCTGTGCTGCTGCCGAGAACTCACACCTAACCCAGGAACTCG